TTCCCTGACATTTATTATCTCCTAGGTCCTGATCAATCTTTCAGCACGTATGGCTACAGATAAACTGTATACCCTCCACACCACACACAGTATGGGGGGGGGGGGGGGGGGGGGGGTGATTTTCTTTTTCATCCTTTTTTGAGGAGTGACTCAGAGTTTGATCTTTGTCCTAAAACTTCAAACCTGAGCCCTGTTTGTGTGTGCGTGTGTGCGTGTGTGCGTGTGTGTGCGTGTGTGCGTGTGTGCGTGCACAGCAGCGAGCCGGAGCTTCACTGTGACTTTCCATTGTGACTGCTGCGTGAGTCAGACTGAGACGAGGGAGGAGTTCCTTATCCCACCATCCCAGTTGAGTTTCCCATGCTCACACTATTTCCTGGAAGTCCTCAAGACGCACAGGCACACACACTTACTGCAGGTGAACACACACACACACACACACACACACACACACACACACACACACACACACACACTTGTCTGCACAGACAAGCTCACAGTGATGCAGGCAGACACATGCACCAACTGTAAACACAGAAAATTTTTGACTCTAGTTTAAGAGATAATTCTTGTTTAATGACTAGAAAGTGAAACACACACACACACACACACACACACATACACACATGCATCTTTTACCTTGTTCACAGTTCTTGCCTCCGTAACCAGTTGGGCAGTTGCAGTTGTAGGTGTTCCACTTGCTGACACACACTCCTCCGTTCTTACACACAACGCTGGTGCAAAAGTCTTCCTTTGCTGGACAACCTAAACATTAGAGACACAAATAATAAGTCAGTATCTCTTTAATATGCATGTCTAATGCATTGTATGCACAGTATCTGTGAAACCGTTTTGGTTTAAATTGTTGCACGTCCAACCTTCTGTGGTGCCGTTATTAGCGATGTAGCTGGCCATATCGATGGGTTTGCTGTCGATGATGAGGTTTCTCATGCAGCCCAAAAAGTCTCGGTTCCTGACAGGGAAGTCCTCGGGCAGGTTGGGAACGCCGCCGAGCAACAACGGGCCTGTTAAGTCCAGTGACCTGCAGACAGCAAAGAAAGGAAATCAGAATAACTTCCAAAACAAAACAAACTTACTAAAAACATGAAATGCTTTGGATTTAGAATCTAAAAGGAACAAACCTATATTCTGACCCTTTGAGAACATATAACATTCAAAATTTAACTGACTAGACTGCAACAATCCATGGATGCCCCCACTTCACCCCAGGAAGGACGACTGAGGTAAAGCATCAACCCTTAGCATGACTGACATTTGTAAAATAAAGTTATTTTTTCTGAGGATTTAGGCTGGCAAAAGGCTAACGGCTACCATCACCACAACTGAGTCTGGATCTACACAGTAGGTCATGAAGGAAGCTGCTTACACCCACAAGCCCCTCACCAGCAATAGCCACGGGGCTTTGAGAGACTTAATGTGAAGCAACACTGCACAAAAACATGTTCAAAGCACCGACTGTATAAATTGTGGGCATTTACAGTAAAATACGAACAGTGTTGTGTGACCAGGAGCATGTGGAGCTTAGTCGAGGAGTCTTTAAGGAATTAAATCCCTAAATAAATCAATTATGTTGCAAACTGCTACAGATTTTAAAGCTGTTTTAATTTAGAAATACCTCCACAAGAATATTAATTTAGCAATTTGCATGTGAAAGTATTAATAATCTAATCTTATGGATCAACACCAGTGGCATTAGATACTGAATTTAGTATTAAAATACATTTTTAAAGGGAAAATATTGCATACTTAAGTTTTTTATAATACCAATATACTGGCTGATGATTTTTATAAAATTGGCAACGTTTTTTAAGATGTCGTTATTGAACCCTTATGACACGGACACTGAATTGATAATTTACAGTTCAACTTACGATAAATAAAAAGAGAACATAAATACAACCAAATATATTTAATTTAAAATTTAAAAAAAGAAATATTACTTGTGAAATGTAAAAAGAAACGCAAATCTTCTCTGCATTTTTTACTAAGTATTCACCTCTGCAGAAATCAATACCGATATCACGGTTGAGCTCTAGTGTACATGTAAGTGCAAGTGTGGAACAATGATCATATCTCTTTCTTGGTTTAAGAATGCATGTCAACATTTACAGTTAATCTAACAGGGGCTTTTATTTACAGGTAAAATATGTACAAAAACATGTAATTAGGAAATTTGTAAGAATTAACCAGATGTGTCTCTCATTTTCAGAATCTAAATTAAAAAAATTAAACTAAATTAAAAGGCTACCTAATGTTTGGCCAAGTAACTTGAACAATGTCTTATATGCAAGACTGTGCCTTTGGGAGCTTCAAATAAAGATTCTCCTAGCACTGGAAGCCAAGTGGTTCCGTCCTTTGTCTTAGTGACACACATTTTCAAAAGTGAAACTATTTATGCACCACATTACATAACATTGTAATGTGCTGTATGATTGCAAATTCAGGCAAGACAAAGTTAAAGCTCCTCTGAACTCCTCTCAGCGTCTTTTACCTGTGCAACAAGTTCCCGAAAGAATGTAACCTCATTATCTCCCCTTGAAGCGCTGCGTCCCCACCCTCTGCACACTAAATGTGCCCCAGCATGTTAGCTCTCCAAAAGACTCATTAAAGAAAAAAATGTGTCACGCTATAGAAATAAAAATCAATTAGTCAGTGGTAAACACACAGTAAGCCATTTTAAGCCGGTGTTTTGAGGAGCTATTCGCTGTCTGAGGCCATGTCTGACAGCAGGAATACCACAAGGATGAGTGCACAGATTAAAATACAAAAGGAGGAGAGGGTGGTGAAAAGAGAGATGGGTAATCTGGTGTAATGGAGGAGATTGTGGCCTCCGAGGTACAAAATTGTCCCATAAGTTTTTAAGTGGTCCAGACTTGACGTATGACAGGAAAGATAAAAGATGCACAAAAAGAGAAACAAAAAGAAAAGCTTACTTCTTCTGTCCGGTCTGGGTGCCCTGGGCAGCGCAGGAGTAGTTTCCGATCTGCTTCCCGAAGCGAATCGCCATGGAGATGTCACAGTCGTCCACTGCAACCACAGCCACCTTCTCTCCAGATGGTCCATGAGGGACACCCAGACGCCCGATGTTAGGCTAAAAAGGAAAAGAAAATACAATTGAATCAGTTAATTACCAACATTTAATGTTTGTGGATAAATTGTAAAATAAACTGTAAAATGTCAAGCCTCGCTTACATGTCTTTGTCATTAGGAATTAATTGATGGCAACATTTCTTTCTACCCCCTATTATCAGCATTGACCCCAAAATCCACATGAGGCTCTGACTTACAGTTTAAAAACTATTTAATCAGCAGTTATTGACAGGTAGAGTTGATGAAAGGCAACTTTGAGTTCATCTGACACGGCGGTTGATGTGTGTTGTCAAAAAGAAAGTGGAAAGGAAGCAGATCTATCGTCTCCTCTTGTGTTTTTTTACAGTATAGTTATGATAAATGACCTCAACCGACTGTATCTAGTTAAAAATGCTTGTTTTCCTTCTCAGTTTCTTCTCAGGCCGGCCGGGACGGCTTTTTGCTGCTCGATCGCTGCGGGTCAGTGCTACACAAACAATGTATCGCTGGCTTTAGCCAAGCTGCGGCGGAGGCACACAGGTCTCTGCTGGCTTAAGACGACAAACAGCCCATTGTGCACTTTGCTCGCACCTAATGATTACAAAGTAGGCTAATTCCTCGTTCAAGGCTTGTGGCCGACGAATGTTGATCTGAGAAAATGTGGATCAGCTTAGAAATTCAGGCCACCAAATCGCTTTAGTTCTTGTAATATCGAACCTGAGACCGAAGTTCACTGGAGCATTTCCTCGACAAAAGCGGACTTGGAACGGGGGGCAGGCGGTATTTGAGGAGTTTAATTAAAAATGTTTCCACCAATTAGAAAATAACACCTCCTTCATAACGGGCATGAAAGTGAAACAAGATAAATAATGTGGGTGAGGATATGAGTCATTCTAAGACATTTTAATTTGAAATCATAAAAATAAGCATGTTATTGCCTTCTTGTGAGAGGTGTACAGTAGATAAAATGATTAGTCCGCTCTCTCTTCTATCTCTCCTGGGAGAGTGGCAAATCTCTAGACTACAAAAACAAATAACAAAGAGACTACAGATCCCAGATCTGATGACAGCGCTGTGTTTACACAGGGCACCCGGGCTCCTTAAAGGCGGACAGGTTGACAGATAGCAAGACACACTTACCCTGAGGTGACGGATTGATAAAGGAAAATATTAAGAACAAAAATTAAAATTTTCTTATAAATTAAATTTGCTCAATACTTTTTTAAATCAATTATTTTGTCTGTTTTGATTTCAAATGAGAGAAAAGTAGTTACTAGAGAAAAGGCACGAAGGGAAAACCCAGGCCTGGATAGAAAGACAATGTGTGCGCATGTGTTTGTCTCCTACACAAATAGGATTAGCGTAATGAGATACTGGCAGGGCAGACACGCAGTAAAGGAAGAGGAAATAAAAGAGGGTGGAAAATAGAAAAGAAAGAGCGACAGGCAGAAATAGGGTCAGACACAAGAGGCTGAAAGAGAAAGACAAAAGAAAGGCCGGTAGACAGTTAGCAAAAAAAGAGCGACGGGGGAGCAGTGATTTCTATTTTGGCTCAGGTGGACTTCGCCTCGGCATATTTTCCGACCCAGAGGGAGTTTTGTTGTAGTTTGTCTCTGCCACTCCTGTCAATGTGCTCTGTTTCCACTAATTCCACTCAAAAACACTTTTACACTTTCCATAAAGACGAAGAGACAGTACAAGATCCCCTGACACCACTGCTGCTCTTTCTCTTCAGTTTTCAAAAAGGACAACACGAAACTTAGTGGAAGGAAGTTGAATAAGTCAGGGGAGAGTTTCGGGGTGGATATGGATCAGGGTGTGGATTTCATAAGAGTACTGTGCTTTCTGACAACTATATCCCATACCCCACAAGTATGTTTACTATGATGAGAGAAAAAGCAGCAGATCCTTACATTTGACATTTGAAACCATCTGAAGTCACTCCCTTAAATGTGTCATTGATAGAAGATATTAAACAGCTGCTGATGCACTTTGTCAATAAACAAATCAATGAATCACTAAAGTCATGGCTTACAGTTAATATACATTTTTTGCATTCATGATAATACAATTTAATTATCAGAAAAAAGTTATTAAAATGAGTCAGGGTTTTTTTGATCACGTGCGTCACGCCACACTTCTCCCCGTGTGCGTGTGTGTGTGCATGTGTGTGTGTGTGTGTGTGTGTGTGTCGTCAGTAACCTCCTGTATAATCAACCTTGTCAAACACACTCATGCTGGTAGGAAACCACACCCCTGTCTCTGCACAGGTATCTGCAGGAGTCTACCTGTGTTGGTTAAAACCCACCCACTCCACTTCCCAGCATCACCATGGCGACCACAGACATCTGTCTCTATCCAAGCGGCACACGCGCGAACCAGTAAATTCTTGTCGGGGCCTCCCAGTGTTGGCCGCAGCGCCATAACTCAAGGCAGAAGAAGGGCCGAGCCCTGTTTGAAAAACTTTGAGTCTCATGATTGAATGTGTCGTTATGTAACCTGGATTTTACTTCCTGCACTTCAGGAAATCTATGTCACAGCTGCTTTCAGGTGAGGCACATGCATTATACACCCCACGTGCCCAGCAAGGTTGGAAATGAATGCAGACTTGTGGCCAGATTTGAGATTAAACATGTTCCTGGGAATTAGGACGACCTCAAGCATAAACTTGCTGTGAGATACACATGGGTGAATGTCCCCTGTGGGAAGCCTGGGAGATAAACACAAAAAAAGATCTGATTTTACTTAAAAAGCAGTCGAGCCTGAAGGAGAACAATGGTGACCCGAACACAGGCAACCAAAATAAGGAAAAAGAAAGACCGTGTGATAACTGTGTAAAATGTTTTCATGAGCTACAGAAGGTAATAGGTTGAAGATAAATAAAACCTCGGTGTGAGAAAGACTCTTCAGGTTAATCTGAAGTCACGCTGATTCAAATCTTATCGTCGCTTTAAGAATTCAGTGGAGTGAAGACGATGAGATAAAGACAGAGGAAGACAGGAAGCAAAACATGGGAGAGAGAGAGCAGACCCACATAATGGACCCACAACCTAAGATCTGCAGCTGTTACATGTGCTGGTAACTTATAGACTGAAACACACACCCACACATTCACACACACACATACATACACACACAAGCATGCACGTACGGTATACTGTGCAGTACACACTGTGTAAGCACTAAACTGTATATTTAGGGAATGTGTGTAATGTGTGTGTACTATGTGAGGGATATAATAAGCAATAATGCTGCTGTTGTTGTTTCAGGCACAGAGTTCTTACTCTACACAATTATTATAAGCACAGATTTAGAAACACTGCATGTGATTTTCAGTATGAATAAAGCTTATTATGATGTCCTGCATGGAACTGTACCTGTACTGTGAACTGTGATTAGTGGGAATAGAAAAGTCCATCTTGTCTTATTTTGTGTGTAGAATTGATCTCATACAAGAGAATATTTCTATTTTTTTAAAGTATTAAGTAAATCATTATATGTCCATTACAAAAAATGAATGCCCTCTTATGCTAAAGTACGTGTAAACAAAGAAAACTGTAGAAGTAAAATTTTAAAATACTTTTAGAGGAAGTAAATCAATCAATGACGACTGCTATTACATATAGGTGACGTTCAGTGAGGATAGCCTCTGGCTATAATAGGTCAACCCCATGAACAGGAGTGGATGCCATGTCCTAAATTGAAAATTGGTTTCCCCTTAACTGAATGTGCGTGTGGCTAGTACCACTGTATATAGTTTCAGGCTTCTGTCTGGACCCTCAGTTTAAAGTGCACTTGGCCCTCACTGTGAGGGGCCCCATGAGAGTCTCTTATGCACCCTCCTCCCGACTCTGACCTGTTGAAGATTCCCTCTCTCTCAGGTGTCGTCTCCAGGGGCGATATGCTTGCTGCAACTATGGCAACGCACTTGATCCCCACAGCTTGCCACAAAGGCGAGAAGGCAGAGGACACGGGTGGACAGATGAACTGACCCACACACACACACACACACACTCACAGTTAAAAACTGTGCCATTTGCATTTAAAACACCCTCCCTTTCTCACAACAGTAACAGCCAGTCTACACTCAGACCCACCCAAGAACACACACACACACACACACACACACTCTCCCTCCCACCAACGGAGGCGCACACACTGACACCTCTATTACGACCAGGCTGCCTGTCAAAACCGACAAGATAACTCAACCAGCCCTCCGGCCGGGACAAAGAGTTTTGCTTCACAGATTAAGTTACCTGCTAAACTAAAAAAACACACACTGTCAAAATGAGCCACTAATGACCCTGTAATGTGTGTGTGTGTGTGTGTGTGTGTGTGTGTGTGTGTGTGTGTGTGTGTGTGTGTGTGTGTGTGTGTGTGTGTGTGTGTGTGTGTGTGTNTGTGTGTGTGTGTGTGTGTGTGTGTGTGTGTGTGTGTGCATGTGTAGAGGGTGAGATGGAGAGAATGCCTGGTGGTGATTATGTGTTTATGCGTGTGTTTGGGGAGTATGGGAAGGATGTCTGCATAATGTGTTTGTGGTGTTTGTGCAATGTGTTGAGTGAGCAAGCAGCATGTGCATGTATGTGTGTGCACGTGTGTGTGTAAGACAGGAAGCAGCTAGTGGAGCTGCAGGCAGCCAAACAGTGTATTTAGATAATAAAGGAAAAAGGGGCACACACTCTTTTATTTTATTTGGGGTCGCCTGAGGATGTGCTATTGTTTCTGTGACGCTTGGATGAAAAAATGACTCTAGATGGATATTTGAACATGAGATGTGTGAGTGTGTGAATGTGAGTGTGTGTGTGTGAGGTTGATTTTAGACCCTGTCATACAGAGGCTAGTGTGTCTAACCTTCCCTCTAGCAGACTCTATCATGTCCACATTACCTCACCTGCCCTCTGGCAATGTAAAGCTAGAAGTGTGAATTATTCAAACACACACACGGTTCCCAGAGGCTTTACACAGAGCTACGATGTCCTGTTTTCAAGCTGCCGACATGTTTCTGGTGTCTCACATCTATCAGTGTAACAGATGGACAGCGGCCATTGTTGTTTTTTGGCTTTCAAGAGGTGAAACAAATGTGCAGACACCATTAAAACTGAGGTAAGGGAAACTGTATCCTGTTTGGAAAATTCCTCCAACAACTGTGGTCACCTGCATGTGCCCTGACTTCAACAGTATTATCTTCTGACTGATGTTTTTCATCCATTTGTTAAGGCATATTTCACAGACAGGTTTTGTCTTGGAATTATTTTTGCTTGATCAATTGTTTTTTTCCTCCTTCCTCTTCCTTCTAATCCTGTTCATTTTGCTACCAATTTGCTGTGATTCAAAGGCTTTCAGCATAGCCCTCTGCACTTCCTCCCACTATCCAGAAATGAAGCTAAATACCACAGAAATGAATGTTGCCATCACAGTAGGAGATGGTCCCAGGGTCGCGAGGTCCCTCAGAAACACCTGCTCGACCAACGCAAGTCAGTCTCAGCTGTCAATCATGACATGTGACCCTGTTATTATTACACTAAATAACTGATTAAAGCCAAACTTACTTCAGTGTGATAAGACCTACCTAAAATCTGAGAAACGTTTGATGTGTACTTGGTCCATGTCACACCTGGTAACATGGAGGAGGCCGGGTTTATGACCCAGACTGTAGCCAGCCACCAGGGGGCGATTGAGACTCTTCACCTTTCACAAGATATTTTCCATCTTAATACAAAGTCAATGCAACAATGGTTGATTTGTAAACCATGACATTTTATAAGTGTTAATGCTCAGCTAAGCTATCAAGCTTCATATCTTCTAATCTAAATCTTGGCAGTGGAGCCTCAGTAGTGACCATCTAACCTTTATCTAAACAACTGTGAAGAACCAGGATTGATGCTAATGTCTGGCAGTAAAAGCAATGGGACAATAAAACAAGGCCTGATAGGCATCATATAAGAGATATACACAGCATAAAAAGATAAGAGAGAGGGATGTGGAGATGGAGAGGTGAAAGAGAGCGAAGAGGAAGACACAATACGGCCTGGTTATGCACTATATGGACTATATTTCTCTCTCTACACTTCCTACACAGCATTTTTATCTGTTCTTTTCTCTTCTCCCCCAAATTCCACTGCCTGCATGTCTCTCTCAAGAGGTTTGGGTCATGCTAGGTGAGGTGTGTGAAATTTCCTCCTCGCAGTGACACACACACACACACACACACACACACACTCCCTCACATCACAAGAGCGAGGGAGGAATGTAAAAATGGGAGAGGGTGAGGAGCAAGTAGATAGATGTGAGACAGGGATAGAGATGTAGTGGGTTAGTCAGTCATGTATGGAGGCGGTCTGTAGTGACAGATTTATCAGATTTGTAGTCATTCCTCTATGACACAATGCTGTATACATCCGCTTTTCCTGCTGACTGGTAACTCACTCATCTACACACACACACGCAGACGTCTTTACATTAAGGTTCAGTGACTGTGTGTGTTTAAAGAAGGTACGACCCTCTACCTTCAAATATGGCAAGTACAACTAACCATCACATGTAAATTATTTCTCTTGCTTGAGAAATCTAGCTTCTTTTGTTCATTGTTGTTTTAACCTTGGCTTATGCTGTATGTTTAAGCAAGAAGATATACTTACATGGTGAGTAAGACTGGGTCACCATATATCTATAAAGGCCGAGGGTAGTGAATAACCAGCCCTCCAACCTAAATGACCATTTAGGTTGGAGGGCTGGTTATTCACTCATTTAGGTGGCCTGTTCCTACCCTCAAATTCAAAAGCACAGGTATGAACCTTTCATTGTCACGATAACAATAATAGACACATGGTTTAGGTGGGACATGCAAGCCCATTGTATGTAAATGGTCATGTGATACAATTACAGTTGCGTTATAGTGACAGGGGTGATTTCTGACATGGAGTTTAAAAGGATGGAAATCATTTGAGTTTTCAGTGTATAAGAACCAACAAAGATTCATGTTCTTGTATAACCACACAAGACTAAGCACCCAATCTAAAATGAAAACTAAACTACAGTCTAATCAGATGCTTGTCATCTCTCAGATATTTGCTGTCCATGCTCATTACAGGAGCGACATCTTCAACGATGTTGTTCCTCCTCTTTACTGAATTGGTGCTTAGGCCTGCCACTGTGCTGCCAAGGAAAACACAATCACTGCTCTGTGGGAGTCCACCTACCTGCCTGCCTGTCTGCAGAGGCTCAGTGGAAGACGTCAACAAGAGCTGACAGATGAGCAAAAAGACTGTTATTGTTTCAGTCATGCTTATACACCATTGCGTCATTTATAGATATTAGTAGCTTCAGGAACACAAAAAAGAAATAGAGCATAGCAGATGAAGATGGAGGGAAGAGAGATAGGAAGAATAAAACTGTGTATGGCTTAATGTTCCAACAAAAGCCAGAAAGATGCAGTAATGATGTAATGACAGTCCTCAATGATGATGAGAGATGTTCTGCACCAGAGACCGCAGACTTAATTCATCCCTGTCTGAGAGTTGTCCCTACCTGCCTCATCGACACACACCTTTACCTCTGACCCCTCTGGATAAACATGACAATGGAAAGTGTTGATGGATAAAGTGAAGTGCAGTCAGTATCATCCAAACCTACAAAGCACTGGCATTCAAAACACTTGTGAAACCATCTGTGCCAAATGTTGAGCAGAGACCCTGAACATGCAAAACCAGGTTGAGGCAGGAAAAGATAGTGGAATCAGAGTTTTTACATTTGTTACAGAGCATCTTGTGTAGTATTTGAGTGTTTGGTCCCTTTATACATTAGTCATATATGTGCACAAACACGCATTACATTGGAAACATGATGCACTGTGATTTTCAGATATGGAAAATGTCCAAACAATTGGGTCTGGACAATTTTCATAGTTTTCCTTTCACATATGAACAACACAGCAGGAGGTCAGAAGCGTTTACAACAACAGGAAGATGTCCCGATCATTTCGGCCAGGGCTGGCACCTGGCTACGTCATTCAGATGGCAGGACATGATTAATAAATTCTGCTGCAGAAATCATGTGTTTGTTTACAGCACATCGACACCAGCATCTGCCCTTATTACCAAAAGCTCAAGGATTAGTTGGTGTCGTTGCGGGTGTCTTCTACATGTATAGCACTTTTTCAGACATTTAACTGACTGACATTTACATTCTTTTCAGAAGATTTCAGGAAAATCTTCGGATTTCAATGCAGGTCTGACAGTGGAATATACAGTTGAGGGAAGAACAAACAATCTTGTATTTTTACAAAAAACTCGAATGTCAAAAACAGAGGATAGGGAAGAAAGCCAAGTTACCACAAACCTTCAGCCAAACTACAACCAAAAAACACCAAAACCTGCTACAACCCCGTCTACAGTCCACACTTGACCAGAGCCACACTAAACTACGCACCCTGTTGTAAGCGGCCATCATACCTCTGTTTACCTGAAGGAAGCACGTACAGTAGTTAGTCAAGCAGACTAGAAGCAGAGCGGGGACTAAATAGGACCATGGAGGGGGGAGAAAAAAACACCAGTGGGGGCTACAGGCTAGAGGTCAAAGGTTACCTCCTTCTGATTGAGCTCCAGCCAGGCAGTATAGAATGGGAGCCGCAGAGCCCCACTGGAGTCCACCAGACTCCCCCCGTCCTGGGAGAGAGACACCGTGAGAGAGAGACACCGCATTAGACCTGCAGCCCACAACCAAGCCACATCACTGTGTGTATGTGTAACACTCAGTAACAACTAAACATGTAAATGTACACAGAGCCTGACTGATTTATCAGCCTGACAATAATATCAGCTGATTTAAGCCTTTCACTGACAGATCAGCGTTTGTGTTTGCCACTATGTGCAAAAACATATATATTTAACATAAAAAATACAAATCAAGTTCTATATATTTGGTTATTTTTGTATTTTCTTTATGATAACTAAACTGTAAAATATAAAGCCTCAATTACATCTCTTTTTCACATAAGGTTTCAAAGCGACATCTTAGGAATTGCTGTCCTCATTATCTATTTATTGCACATATGCAATAGTATGTACGCAGAAGGATCTGTGGTTGCACTTGCTATCAGCTACTTTGCCTCAACAATAACTACATCCTTGACAAAACGTTATTCCTCTGTGCCCACTTCAAGAACACTCCCCCCCACTACCTCACACAATAGGCTACAACTCATGCACCGCCACCTTCAGACAAAGGTGTCTCTTCTAGATTTGTATCACCCTGTGAAGTGCCACGCTATGTGACGAGCAGGTGAAATTTACAGCAGGAAAAACACAGGGAATGTTTCTTTTGGCACAAGCGTGTGAAAACCCCAGAAGCAGCTACTGTGTGTCGACAAGAGCAGATTCACCACACAAACACAAAACATTGATTTGGAGTCTGTTTACATGCAACAATATTAAATTACAAAGTGTTCCAATTGTGTCTGATTAATTTAAAACACTAAATACCATGATCTTCAAATCTTCTGAGAGGGAGTATAACACCATTTGCTCTTTGTGAATTTTGTCTAAATGCTTTATAATTGGTGAAAGAGAAATTCCTGTTATTGAAAGCTAATGTGTGCGGTTACAAGTGATGATAACCTTAAATGTTTGTGGTCTGTGGAAACATACAGTGCGTCAAAGAAGAACAAAGACTAACATGGCCTCTTCCTCTAACAACACACCCTGCAGGGGAATGTGGAGTCTGGGGCTTCACCTCGAAAAATAACTACTTAACCTTTCTAAAAAGGACGTGGCAGCAAAAAAACACAAACCTGCACCCGTGTGTGTGCAGGAACACATGATGATGGGCAGTCTCTCATCGTGTGAGTGTGTCTGTGTAAGTGTGTGTGAAGGCGAATGCCTCAGTCACTGTGGCCACCCAGGAAAGTAACTTCACAAAGACAGAGATGACAACTCCAGGCTCTTACAGGCTCTCTGCAGTTTATTTAAAGAGCATTTATGCATTGTGTTCAAATTCAGTGTGTGTCCCTCTGTGCGTATGTGTGCGTCTGAATATCAGGTTGTCCTCGCAAACGTATAAACCCTGAACTTACAACAAAGAGACAAGAGAGAAAAGGAGACACATGGTGTGATGTAGTTTTTCCCCTGATGAAGACCAGTGTTATATATGTGTATTGATATAAAATAAAAGCTTTTAATGTTTGCAACAAGAGCCAATGTCTTGGATGATTTAGGTTTGGCACTGATTTTTTTTGCTTGTTTTGTGCAGCTCAATCTATAATCTCAACTCCATTTAGGCATGCACAATAATTACTAGCTTGGTAAAAACAGTTGCCTGCATCTGGAAACAACACTGACTTGAGCTGTGAACTAAGACTTTTGAGTTGTGGGCTATAAAACTAAAACAGAGGTGAGTTCTTCAGAATAGGAGATAAAAAAATGTATATCTGGGTTTGTCACAGACTGTATGCAAAGATGGGCGGCATACCAGCTCCCCAAAAGTGAAGCCAAAGCATCTTGATCACCACCTGGTGGCTAGCTGCAATATAGGCCATAAACCCAGCGCCTCAATGTTCGTGAATAGCACATGGACCAAGCTAAAATGTCAAAACAGACGTCACATAAATTTTTCTTTCAAGACATTTCTGGTATTTTAGGTAGTTTGAAACTGACATTTGTTCAACTGTTGTGACTGACTCGAGATTGTTTTTGTGCAGGTATCAGCGGGATCACGCTACTGCAGCTCCATTCCCCGATGACAACTGCACAGTCTCTAGATCCAAATGAAATCCTTGGCACAAGATGTTAGCATTCATATCTTCATAGTCCACCCTTATGTACAGTCTATGTTTTGTCCTCCTTTTTATATATTACAAGCTGTCATTTGCTCTATTGTTACAAAGAATGTAATTATAGCAATTTTCATTTTTCTGTATTCAGCTGAGTGGTTGACTTACATAAGTGTTTCAACCCAGCAGAGGTGGAATGCAAAAATACACACATGGTACATTCAAAAAGTACTTCAAGCTATGCTGTGAAGTAATTTGCACGTATGTTCTGATGATTAAAGCACTGCTGTGTAAACAGCACCAGAGTGAAAGCGACGGAGGAACAGCAGAGGCAGAAAGACTGAACTTTTGATACTCGCTGGTGATAAGAGTCAACTAAGCCTGTCTGGGAATGCTGTCCACAGACCCTGGCTGTAAATATCACAGCCCATATTAGCCAGTGTTACACTATTAAACATGTCTAGCATCGAGGCTGTGTGGTGTTAGGCAGCATTAGAAAAATGCTGCAAACACACAGGCTCATCGTGTCTGCAGTCATGCTCTGCTTCGCTGCACTGAAAGCATGTGTATGGATCACATGGAGGGTAATTATAGTTTATTTAGAGCTGAGGTTTACAGTTGATCACACTCTATTCTTGTTTAAAGGAGATCTGGTGAATGCAAATGTGATAAAGATTCTTCATGTTTGTCGTCTTCATGTTGCCACATGTGAAATCAAATTGACTTTGCCCAGAACTGCAGGCTCATCATGTTTCCTTTCCTTTCTGAACTAAATCAAATAAAAGTTACAAATTAGATTATTATCCAGTAATTACAGCTGCAAGAACAAAAGATACAAGTTTTAAAAAGTCCAATGTGATCAGTGTGTGTGAGTGTAGAAATGAATCACTTGATGTAAGTTTGATAAAAAAATCGTTTTGGTATTCATCAGTTCAGATACAGTTTATTTGTTCAAACTGGTTCCAGGGTCGATTATGACAATTAGTGTTCATCTAGTGTTCCTTTTAAGACAAAGCTGCTTTTATATTATATATTTTTTTTTAAATGGAACAATTATTGTGAGACTGCAGTCATGGTAAAGATCAGTGGATATGAGATAATTTTATCCCAGTGTGATTCTTGCAAGTGGTGTAGAAGAGACAATGATACAACTGACATCCTGTCCAGTGTCCAGCTAAATAGCATCACTTCCTGTGACCAGAGACATCATTTCCTGTAGTTAGCACACATCAAAACCCAAGACAAAACCTCATCTGCTCTGTATTTCCTGTTTAGATTTGTCGTGTTGACAGTTAACTGTCCTTGAGACGTTACATCGAGGAATTTCAAAAACGTTTTTACCCTTCCACCTCTACTGTGTAACATTCCTAATAGTTGTATGGACACATGCACACATTCAAAAGCATACACGTATACACACACACACACAAAAACACACTCTGTTTGTCTGCCCCCCATGGACGTAAAACACACACATCCACAGCTTTCCAAACGACCCAGATCATTGCAACAATAGCACGTCTACGTCTGTTGTCATGCCAACCCTCCCCCGACCTTTGACCTCTGTTTTTTAGCAGAGGCACCCCGGTTCTTCTGAAGAGAGCTGCAACGGATTTAAAAGGGGGCACCCGTGCAGCCCTGCACAACTTTAAGAGCATCATCGACTGACCCAATAAATCACCATCTGTGTGTGTGTGTGTGTGTGTGTGTGTGTGTGTGTGTGTGTGTGTGTGTGTGTGTGTGTGTGTGTGTGTGTGT